GATAGATAGATAGATAGATAGATAGATAGATAGATAGATAGATAGATAGATAGATAGATAGATAGATGTAAAGTGGATGCCTTAAACCTCTGCAATGGAGGGGGACACAGAAGTTTGAGCCCATTCATTCTTAACAGAACATGGCGGTCTCCAAATGGAGCACCATGTCCTATCAATGAGCAGTGGCTCTCTGCTGACACAAGGGATAAATAGATACATAGATAAATGCTGGACCCATTTTTCTTTTCTTCATTCTCCGTGGCTCACCATTCGCCGGGGTCTTTCTATCTGTCACTCTCCAGGAGATCGTCAACTTCAATTGTCGCAAACTGGTGGCCTCCATGCCGCTCTTTGCCAACGCTGACCCCAATTTTGTCACAGCCATGCTCACCAAACTGAGATTTGAAGTATTCCAGCCAGGCGACTACATCATCCGAGAGGGCACCATCGGGAAAAAGATGTACTTCATCCAGCACGGAGTGGTCAGCGTCCTCACAAAAGGGAATAAAGAGATGAAGCTTTCAGATGGTTCCTATTTCGGAGGTGAGATGGATTAAGGCAGCCTTAATTTACTTACATATTTGGGGCATTCTAAGGGGCAGGGATCGGGTTCCTTCCTAAGTTGAGGCACATTTGGCATTTGGAGAGCATGTGTTGGGTGCACTCCCAAAATGGCTGCCACAGAACACTCGACTGTTCCCAGGATGGCTGCCATGATAGGCATGAGCAGTTCCCAAACTGTTCAGAAGACAAAGAATCTTCTTGAGCTTCAGGTTAAGGAAGGAAAAAGAAAAATAAGAACTGAGTTTAAAATTATATGGTATTTATAACAACCAGCTTGACTGGAAATAGTTGAAGGAAAGGAAGAGAGTGTCTGTGATGGATCCAGGAGACATCTAGCTGGGCTTTGTGAAGAAGAGGAAGATGTTGGGTTTAACCCTACAAGAGATGTATGTAATCTTCTGTCGTTAAGGGGGAATCTGTTTGAAATCCACCATTAGCTTTTGGCTTTGGATTCACTTTTCCATCTTTTCTCCAGAGATTTGCCTCCTGACCAGAGGGCGGCGAACTGCAAGTGTCCGTGCGGACACATATTGTCGCTTGTATTCCCTCTCGGTGGACAATTTTAATGAAGTCCTAGAGGAATACCCCATGATGAGGCGGGCTTTCGAAACAGTCGCCCTGGATCGCTTGGATCGCATTGGTACGTTGGGAGAATTGGAACGGGGGGGAAGAGGCTGATGGGCCACGCTGTCCCAGTTCGAAACTCTGAAAAGGGCATCTAGATTTTATCAGTTGGAAGAAATAAGTTGCCTGTCAAAGGTAGAGTTTTTCAAGCACAACTCTTCCAAGAGATGTCCCATCTCGAGGGCAAAACAGCTTGTTTCAAGCACTTCTAAAATATCTTGAGGTCAAAGCAGCTATTCAAAGCTCAAAAGCTCTGTCTTGAGGCTACATTGCTTCCAGGACATTCAAGAAAAGTGAATTTCACAAAGGTCCCTTCCAGCATTGCGCATACATGTAGATGCATGTAGGTCATTATAGATTTTTTTTTGGAATTATTAAACAGGAGTGTTCCTTTCTGTAAAATGATCGATGCAAGTAAATATTCATGCAAAACTATATATTAGGGACATCAGCATCCACTGAGAATCGCGGTGCTGGCTTTCAATTTAGCAATTTAATATTTCGATTTAAAAAAAAAAACCTCTTGAGTTTTGGGGGGCTTCGACCCGTTAAAGAAATGAATAGATGTCAGTGTGCATTCCTCTAAGGCTTATAACAGCGAACGTGTTGTTTGCAAGAGTGTAGACAGAGGACTCAGTTAGGAGAGCGGCCTGCCACCTGCCATTTCTGTAAATACTTTGATTTAAAATAGGTTCCAATTTAAAATATGGCGAATAACTATTTTTACTCAGTTATTTGTAAAACCTGCAGATGGTACATGTTATTTTTTTTAAAAAAGAAACAAAACAGACATTCCCTGGTGCGTGCAGGAGGGGAAGAGCGATGCTTTTGTAAGATGGTACCTGTTTGTTTCGTATATCCTTTTTTATTTCCACTTTTCCCACTGGGGAGGTACAGTGTTAACCAAAGTACTTACCAAAATGAGAGGAACCAGGTGCCACCAGAGATGATGATGATGGTTTATTTAGTTTGTGTGGCCGCCCATCTCATTTAAGCGACTCTGCCTTTTCTAAGGTGGAGCCAATGTCTTTTGATGTATAAGAGGTGCACATATCTTAGAAGAGGCATTCCCTCTTTGCGGTCATGCAAGAGGGAATGCCTTCGCTAAGAGGGTTCCGGCACCTTCTGGTGAGTATTTATTTTATTTATTTATCGAATTGGTCACCGCCCATCTCGTTAAACGACTCTGGGCGGTTTACAAACAATTAAAATCAATTAAAATGACAACATTACAATAATAAATTCAAAATAAAAAGATCCAGAATAATTGGGAGCGTCATCGAGGCGCTAGCCACCCCCAGGTTTGGGTAGAGTATATTATGGGATAAGCTGATGTTGCAGCAGAAGATATTTGTTCTGTAGGACAGGAAGGCATGCCTCTTCTAACGTGGCACCAATATCTGTGCAAAGCTTCATATATACATCGGTGCACAACAACTTGGAAAAAGATTCTCCTTTTCCTGGAATGCCTCTTCTAAGATAGCTCTGACTGCAATTCTGTACTAAATACATATATTAAACAATAGTTCTTACTGTTTTGAATGGTTCACTGTTCAAATAGTTGGGGGCGGGCTATCCTAGAAGAAGCATTCCTTCCACATGGGGAGGCTTAGCTTTTCCCTATCAGCTGCATTTTTGCTAACTTTTGTGGGTCATCTTAGGAAGCATGGCTTGAAACGTGGCTAAGAGCCAGACTGAAGAAATGATAGCTGGGCAGCTATTGCCATTTTGCTTCTGTGGGTGTGCTGCGCATTTTTCCGTGGCTATGGGAAGAGCCAATGCAAGGAGAAGTAGGTTAGGGGCCAGTGGGCGTGGACTGCAAGGAAACCATAGCTTGTTGCTCCTCTCCCTGCAGGGAAGAAGAATTCCATCCTCCTGCACAAGGTGCAGCACGACCTCAATTCAGGAGTCTTCAACAACCAGGAGAACGAGATCATCCAAGAGATTGTCAAGTACGACCGGGAGATGGTTCAGCAAGCAGAGCTCCAGCAGCACACCGCCATGTACACCCCAGCTCAGCCCCAGGTGACCTCGGCGATCGCCACGCTCCAGCAGGCGGTGGCTATGAGCTTCTGCCCCCAGATGGCCAGCCCACTGGTCGGCCCAATCAGCCTCGGGTCCCCACGGATGGTCCGCCGGCTCCAGTACCAGGGAGGTATCCCCGGGGCCTTCTCCATCTCGCCGGCATTGCTCCAGCAGCATCACCAGCACCAACAGCAGCAGCTCAACCTACAGCAGCAGCAGCAGCAACAGGGTGTCCCAATGCCACAGAATGTGCCACGGCCCCCGCAGCAGAATGCCCCACTCCAGCAGCAGCCCCCACCTCCCCAGCCTCCTCCAGCCTCTTCCACCAGCCCCTTCCCCTCTGTAGTGTCCAGTCCCCCTTCCCAAAGCCCCCACACCAGCCGGACGTTCCCGTATGGGGGTGCCAAGGGTCAGTCGGGTTCCCAGCTCTCGCTAACTCAGCAGAAGCCGCCTGGCTCGCCGCAGCGGCTGGCGGCCCACAAGAGCACCCAGGCCCTTCACACAAGCAGTCTCAGCCAGGAGACTCGGCCGCTCTCCGCCTCCCAACCCTCCCTTCCCCACGGCATTTCTCAGACCCTGAGCCAGAGCCCGCCGTCCTCGGCTCACGCGTCCACCGCTTCGATCGCCACAGGGCAGGGAGCCTCCCCATCGTCGCCTGCCACTTCGACCCAGAATGCTGGTAACACCCCACAAGCCGCATCGCGGCCGGCTGCCCGGCTGCCCCACCAGATGTCCATGGCTGCAGCGTACCCTGGGACAGCTGCCGTGGCGGGCATCCAGCAGGACTCGGGTAGTGCCCGCAAGGATTCCATCATTAGTGCTCCTGATACGGACTCAGCAAAGTCTAGGCTTCCGTCCAATTTGTGACCCTCGATTTAATCAGCAAGGGGCCTTGTGGGCGGGGAGGGTAGCACCCAATCGCCCTAGCTAGCTGTGGGGCAGCATGAACTGGCAAGGGGGCAGTTCTGCAGCACCCCTCTTGGCTTCCGTTCTCTCGTGCTGACCATCACTTGCTCTGCAATACTACTGGGGGAAACTCGGGACCTTTGGGGTTGCGTGCTTCATCAGGTGGGGCTGGGGCACATTGGATCCGGTTTCAGGGAAGCTCGGCGGGACTTCGGCCTCTGCAGGAGGAGTGATGCGCGGGGGCGTTTTTTTCTAGCCAGGAGACAGGGTGCCCGGGACGAGGGAGCCGTCCACCCCATCCGCTTCCTGACCAAAGTTTGGCTCCTGCCTCGCAATCATCTTCATCCCGCCTCGCCCTGCTGTGACCATTCCGTGGAAAGCCATATCTAGATTATCATGCAATTTAATCCAGTGTGTGTAAAATATATACATACTTATATATATATATAAAATACTGACAGAAAAATTATATATATCTAGGAGATAAACCGCATACGCAATGCCTTATACGCCACGCTCCGTGCTGAACCCAAAGGGAAGGGGCAGGTTAGGGGAGACATCAGGAAGAACGGTGTGGAAGAGAGCATTTTGTCAACCTTTAAGGCCAATCTTTGCTCGCCCTCCAGAGCAGTGTTTCTTAACTTGGTTACTTTAAGATGTGTGGACTTCAACTCCCAGAATTCCACAGCCAGCATGGGAAATTCAGCATGGGGAATTCTAGGAGTTGAAGTCCATGAATGCTGGCTGAGGAATTCTGGGAGTTGAAGTCCACAAATGCTGACTGGGGAATTCTGGGAGTTGAAGCCCACACACCTTAAAGTACGTGCAGTGTGAAGCACTATGCTAGAGGACCAAACGTGGCCAGGAATAAAGCTACCGATTTGTGGAGTTCTCTTTCTTTCCCTCTGATTTCTATTATGTGAGAGATCAGTCGGCATTTTACTCCCCTGGGGCAGTTGCTTAATTCTTCATTTTCCCTATGGTGCCTTCTTCTGTGGAACCTGTCTTTCACTTACGGAATTCACTGCCACGAGGCGTGGCGTGGGCTCCACTAGCCTCCATATCTCTGTGGAAAGGATGAGGGAAGTAAGAGAAACCGGAGGGAGGGAATATAGCATCTTCATTTTCGTCCCCAAAAAGCCTCGGGGAGAGTTGCAAAGGTCGTTCATCAGAGACCCCCTGCCTTCAGGGTCAGCTAGTGAAAGACAGAAAAGCAACCGTGAATACTAAACCCTAGTTAGATCCCTTTTTCCTAACAAAGAAGGAAGCATGCTTCTGTAGCTTCTCCTGGATGTGCCCACCAGCTCTCTTCCGTTGCCCTGACTATCATTTGAGGATTAGCACTTTTTAAAGCATTGGACCTGCTTTTTCTCCACGACAAGCTATGGCTTGGGCTGGAGGGAGGGACTGGCCCAGAGCCAGCCAGTGAGCTCCCGCGGCTGAGGGGGACATCAACCTGAGTCTCCCCACTCCTGGTCCAGCGCCACTGCACCATGGAGCCACCGAGCAGCCTTGGGCAGAGGGTCCTGGCTTTTCGTTGTCCAGGACCGCGGAAGCACTTAGCTAGGCGGCTCCCTGGGAAGAGCCTGGATGGGAAGCCAACCCCTATTTGTGGTGGTCAGTCTGTTGTCCAGTTCCAGCCTGCTTTGTTAGTTTATGGTTCAGCGTACTGTATTGGGTGAATCAGAAAATGGGTGAATTCAGTATGGAGACTGTGTTGCAGGAACGCAGTCGGTGACTGGCTACGATTCTCCAGGGGTCCCCACCTACATGTTAAAGGTTGAACCTGGGGCCTTGAACATGTCAGGTGTATATGTTGGGCCACCCACCCTGCACTGCAAAAAAAATATAGGCAGACACTGGTTGCAGCAAAGAAATGAGAGTTTTTTATACACCGCCCAGAATCCACTTGAGTTGGGCGGCCAATAAATTTAAAATAATAACACAGGTCCTTGTTTAGTGACCACATTTGGGATTGGCAACTTGGTCATTAAGTGAAACAGCCATTAAGTGAAGCTGCAACTGTGATCTTCAGCTTTGCTTTACAACCTGCGAAGGTCATAAATGCAAGGATTCATTGCAAAGTTACTTTTTCATCACCATCGTAACTGTGAATGGTTGTTAAGTGAGGCGGTCACTAAATGAGGACTGTCTGTAATAATAATATATCCTGCGACGATACCTTTAACCCCATCAGACAACCACATCTGCCTATCCCAGGTCCTTGGGAAGGACTCGT